AAAAAACAAAAAATCGAGTTTGCTTTTCGGTCATGAAGTCCATAAATAGTTATTAAGCACCTAAAACCTGGGGATTCGGTGTCCACTATCACTGAGTAAAAAACAAAAACAGTTTAGCACTCCAGGGAGATACTGTGTTTATCACTTGGTTTGAATGTTGTGTGAACATGGGAGTTTAGGTAATACATTGGTATGTAGAGATGTGGTGATTTTGTAGGCAATTTTTAGTGTTCTTTGGGTTTTGTTTTGTATATAAACAAATATAAAATTTGAATTTTTCATTTTTTCCCAGGTACAAGGGATGAGCCAAGGGCCTTTGCACTGAGCTGTATCTCCAGCCCTGTCATTTATGTTTTATGTTGGACTGGGTCTCACTCTTGGAGCCCAGGCTACCCTGGAGCTCCCAGTCCTCCCGCCTGCATTTCTGCAGTCCCCGTGGGCCCTGGCAGCTTGCGGAGTGCTCCCGAATGCTCCCTAGTGTTCTGACTGCAGCGAGGGCCCCGCCCCAGCTCTAGATTCATTTGTCTTTTTTTTTTTTTTTTTTTTTGCAGTACTGAGAGTGAATCCAGAATATTCTATGTTTGATCCTATATTTTTGAATTTTTATAAATAATTACAAAATTTTTTTGTGAGAATTATGAAATCATGAGTCTTCAGTATCCCATTTGAGATCCTAGACTAAATTTATGTCTAGGATATCGTGTGATTTGGGAGACTTAAATGCTTGATTATGTTCCTTTTTATATCCTCTCATAATGATAGAATACTGATGTGATCACCGTTCTTGTCACTTGTTAAGTGGAAAAACCTGAGCAGAATTAAAACATAATGAATATGGTCAGCTAAGACCTTCCATAGCTCTTGATTTCAATTTAGTCCATTGTTACTTCCTTTTTGAGTTGAAGGAAACTTGTCATGGGTTGGAATCATGTGATTGCATTCAGAACTGTTGAACATTGACTTCACATTTGAACTTTACTCTTGCACTTAAGAGCAGTTTGTGTCTTAAATAAGATGTTGTAATGAGCTTTTTTTCTTACTTTGTTTTCTGGAAAATGTCCCCAAAAGTACAGACAGTTATAAAATGAACATAGTGTACTTTTACCCACAGCCTGTATTAACTCACAGCTAATACTGTTTTGTTTATACCTGTCCTCACTCTCCTCTCTGTTATTCTGAAGCAGATTCCACATTTCATCTGTGAATATATCAGCCTTAGGGCTTGAAAAGTAACATACCTAACAAATTAGTAGTAGTCTCTTAAAATCTATTATCTAAAAAAAATCTATTACCTAGTTAAGTGTTTAAACTTTTGTTTTTCTTTTCAAATCTATATATTAATGAAACCCATTTGTCGGAGTTTTTCTTAGTCTGAACTTCACTGATTATGTCATGGTTGGTGGGTATCCCTCTCTTCCCTGCAAGTTGATAGATGAAGAGGCTTAAAGGTTTTATTTTTTCTTTTAATAGGAATGAACTTCATAATTTTGTATATTTGTGTCACTGAGTTTAATAATGTTTCTCTTTTTTGAGATACTAGCATCAGTGGTAATCCATTATTATGCAAGTCCATTATTTTATTAGAGGTTATAAAATAGTTATGTTCCAATTATCTCTCTTTGAAACAGGGCCTTGCTATGTTACTCTGCTGACCAGGGTGGCCTTGGTCTCAGAATGACCTCCTACCTCAGCCTCCCAGGTAGCTGGGACTATAAATGTGTACCAGTTTGCCCAGAGTATTTGCCCCCCTGCCCCCTATAATGAGGATTAAACCCAGGGCCTTTGCACTGAGCTACATTCCCACACACACAGCTCCCGCTTTGGTTAGAGATAGGGGAGATGAGGACAGGGTCTTGTTAAGTCAGTAAGTCACCCAGGCAGGGATCCTCCTACCTCAGCCTCCCAGTTTGCTGGGATTACAGGCATACACCACCATACCTTGGCTTGAAAATACTGCTATAGATAAACCTTTAGTCATCACTACTTTAGTTACTCTTCACATTTAGTTCATGTGGGGAAGTAAGGATAAATACTTGTTTCTTTGTAATAATTCTTTCTTTAAAATGTTGGTTCTCTAGCATCCTCCAGAGTTACTTGCCTGAACTTTTGTTTAGCAGTGTATGATTTGTATTTTATTGCCATATCCTTTTATATATGTCTCTTCCCTTCTTTGTTTTTTGGTTTTTTTTTTTTTTTTTTTTTTGGTGCCGGCAATCGAACTCGGGACCTTGCGCTTGCCAGGCAGGCACTTGTGCCACTGAGCTAAATCCCCGGCCCTCCTCCCTTTCTTCTTATCCCCCTCTCCCCATTCCCTCTCCCACTTCTTTAAAAAGAAGCTTACTAGGGACAAGGGATATGGCTCAGTGGTAGTGTGCTTTGCCTATCATGCCCAAGGCCCAGAATTGAATACTCAGCACTGCAAATAAAATAAAATAAAGAAATACATGTATAGGCGTTTTTGGGGGGATACTTAAATTGCTCTTTTTCCAAACACTTGGATAGTGGATTTATACTACTGCGTGGTATGGTGGATTTATACTACTTGGGGATCGCTGGTTCCACACAGAGGACATGAAATGTTTCGATTTGATAGCATCTTCTGTGGATTCTTTTCAAGGCTTCTGGAAGCAACTGCTCTGTGGGACACGGCAGTGTGAAAGCGAACTCGCACAGCTTTTTCATTCATTGTGACTGAGGGTAGAGTGCAGTCTCTGTCTGGCTCAAAATTGAGTATTTCCTTAGCATCTGAGTATTTCCTGTTGCATCATTACCTATGCTGTGTTTAAGCCATTTAAGTGTAAACCAAGTTTCGGGTTTATTAAACTTTGTTTTCTTCATTATGTCCTAAATCGATTAGAAAGAAAATTCAATTCCAAAACAAAAGTCAACAAAGTAACTGAAACATGACTTACTCAAGGTTCTGAGGAAATTAAACATTTTTCCTTATGAAAATTTACCCATTTGACTCTTGAGTTTTCAAGGAGTTTACACACACACACACACACACACACACACACACACACATTGGAATTAAAGCAACATTTAAAACATCACATTTCCTTAAAAATAGTAATCTAGGGCCAAGGATTTAACTCAGCAGCACAGTGACTGCCCGGCAAGTGTGAGGTCCTGAGTTTGATTCCTGGTACCCATTCCCACTCAAAAAATAAAGAATATTAATCTAACAGCTGTTCTGCTGATTTTGGGGGGTGTTGTTGTTTGTTGTATGGGACAGGGTCTTACTTTATAGTTCAGGCTAGCTTTGAACTCACCATGTAACCCAAGCTGGCCTTGAATTGGCAGCAGTCCTCCTGCCTCAGCCTCCCAAGTGCTGGGGTTATAGGAATGTACCACCACACTCAGGTTTTGTTCTGGTGAAATTTCATTACCAGATCGTTTGTATATCAGAAAAGCAGTTGAGGGACTGAGAAAAATAGTAGACTGTAAGAAGAGACGCTAGATGGGCCCAGGCAGAGTGCCAAGGTCTGTCTAACAGCTCGTATGTGTCACCTCGCCTGCCATCTTAGAATTGGCATTAGGGCCAGGATTCAAGCTCTTAAACTTTCAAATAGGTAGCTTAGCGATACAGAAAAGCATAACTTCGTTAAGCATCCGTGCTTTAGAAATAAGACCTCATTCTAAGCATTTTGGTTTTCACCTAGGGTATCGGAACAGCAATCGGAGAACTGCCTCCATATTTCATGGCCAGGGCAGCTCGCCTCTCAGGTGCTGAACCAGATGATGAGGAGTATCAGGAATTTGAAGAAATGCTGGAACGTGCGGAGTCTGCACAGGTAAGAACAGTGGGGGAACAGAACGCTAGTGTCTAGGGACGTTATTAAGAGTCACTCAAGTGAAGAAAACTGGTGAAGTGAGAACAAAATGAGATATGACTTGGGGTAGAATAATCAGAAAAATAAAAATGATGAGAAACAAGAAACGTAATAAAATAATAAACAAAAGCAAATGAGCTGGGTGTGGTTGCGTATGCCTTTAATCCCAGCACTTGGGAGGCTGAGACAAGAGGATCCCTGTGAGTTCCAGGCCAGTGGGAACTGCATAGTGAGACTCTGTTTCAATAAATACATACATACATACATAAACAAATACATACAAGCATACATACATAAATGGTCTGGAGGTGTAGTTCGATTGCAGAGCCAAATGTGAAGCCGTAGATCCGATCTCTAGCACAGCAGTCAGGCAGTCATTTCAAGCTAAGAATAGAGACTTTCTGAGTCAGTAAGATAACATATACTCGTCAAAACACCTTGTCAGAAAAGAGTAAGTTCCTGTAGCCAGTGATGTTAAGGAACCAAAACATAACGGCTTCAATGTGTGTTGTTAGTACCGTATTACTAAGCAGAAGGCTAAGTATATAGGGAAGAAAATGGGTGGACCGGGCGCTAAGCCCCAAACAGCACTTCTAAATCTTGTTTACTTATTTATCTATTTTCTTAATTATTGACTTATTTATTGGGAGGTATAGGGATTGAGACCCAAGGCCTCACTCACACGAGGCAAGTACTCTACCGTTGACTTACGTTCGCAGCCTTTTTTCTTTTATAATTTGGAGACAATCCTGCTGAGTAGCTCAGACCTTGAACTTGTGATCCTCCTGCCTCAGCCTCAAGAGAAGGTGGGATTACAGGTGTGTGCCACTGCACCTGGCTCTGAGTTAATTTTGTAAAAATAGCATCAAATATACTTTATCATGTTAAGAGAAAAAACTTTGGTAGCTGCTAATTACAACTGCTATTTTAGAAAAGGAGTAAACATATCCTTTATCACTAGAGAAAGAAGTTTCTCCCTATAAATTAATAGCAAGAAGGTAAGAAGTCATTTTCTCCCCTTTGGAACTTCTAAATCTCACCTATTTATATATAAATGTAGAGTCATCAAGTTCATTCATTAATGCTGCAGAAATAAGGGGCCCTTCAGAAAAACTTACTTCATCCAAAATTAATCTCTTCTTTCTCTGAACTTCATACAACTTGATTCATGTCTCCCTTATGCAATCATAAAATGTGGGTATTTATACAGGATCCATTTTCTCTTTGAAAGTAGATATTTTCCAAGTGAATGTGTAAATTATATTGCTAATAAGTTATTAAAGCTTTAAACTGGTAAGCAGTAAGGAGTATTAGACTTAGCAGTAGCAGAACTTTCTTTTTAAATAACATTTAACAGTTCAGACTTGCCGGCAGTTCCACCAGCCTTTGTCTGTCAGACAGCAGTGTCTCAACGTGGGGAAGGTACAGGCCCCGGCCACTGAATTCCTGTCTTAGCCACTTCATAATGGAATCCGCTGAGGCTTTTTTGATGTCAGGACAATCAGTGCATCAACCTGTCAGTGTTTCAGAGTAGTTATTTTATTCTTAGGAAAAGTCCTCACAACACTGTAAAATGAGTGAGTCTTTAGAGACGGGCTTAGCAGCGTCGATATGAACAAAATGGATTTTGAAGAGAAATGTTTGAATGAATTAGGTGAAATACATCTTCCCTCAGATTTGTCTGTTAACCTATGGAATTGAAAATTTTTCTGGTGCTACATGCCTATAATCCCAGTGCTTGGGAGGCTGAGGCAGGAAGATCACTGTGAGTTGGAGGCCAGCATGGGCTACATAATGAGTTCAAGGCCAGCCTGGACTATATACCGAGAGCCTATCTTTCAAAAAAATGTATAAACAACTTTTCACATTATATTTGCATTGGTGATGTAGCTCAGTTGCAGAGCACTTGCCTAGCATACATGAGGCCTTTGCTTAAAAAAAAGTTTTAATGTTTTTAATAGCTTTTAAATCTAGAATGTAATGTGACCCTTGTCTTAACTCTGAGGTGATAGGGAAACGTACCATTCTTCTAATTTATTGGAAAACTGAGGGTCTAGAAGTTGTTACCTTCCTAATTTCACATGCTTAAAAACAGAACCAAAATTCAGAATGCCAGCATCTGTGGTATATTCCAGTTCCTGAACAACCCCTCCACAGAAGTAGACAGACAAGTGTCCCTACCAGTCACAGTTGATGCCTCTATATTAGTGTCCATCGTCTGCCCGCTCTAAAACTTCTCCTTCATACAAAATCAACAGGTTGACATACAGTAACTGTAAGGTAGGCTGCAGCTATGGAGATTTATGCCATGTCATACATACCGAACAGATTGTGCAAGTATTGCTCCCTCTTAAGCCAACTAATGTGCTGTGATTATTTTTCCTTTTTTTTTTTCTTTTTTAAAGCTTTTGGGGGCAGTTTTTGGAGTTAACGTGTTTTGCAGTTGCATGGTTTCTTTAAATCTCTGGCTTTTCTTTTCTCCTTCCACTGGCTGTGTAAAATCATCTCTTTTATCACATAGTACTTGGTAATCTGTCAGATAATGACTTGTGCCAGGCACAGTAAGTAGCTCATGCAGTTTGGGAGGCAGAGGCAGGAGGATCACAAGTTCAGGCCGCTCAGGGCAACTTAGCAAAATCCTGTCTCAAAAGCTAAAAGGGACCGGGGCAGGTGGGTGGCTCGGTGGTACAGCACCCAGCAGTGCTGTGAAGAGTCAGCGTGTCGCTTCCGCTCTTGTCACGGAGTCTGCGCTCCTCTCCTAGCTGTGCTTTCCGGCGTTGCTGTGTTTAGCACGCGATCCTTGTGGGGAACGGTACCTGCACCTAACCCATCCCGGTGCCTCGTCTTGTCCCCTTCTCCTCCTCTCCCTCCCCACTGTTGCTTTGACCTTCTCTAGGCGCTTCTCTCGGGTTAGACTTCCTGTCTCCCTCAACTTTTCTCCCCCTTTTTGGTGAAACACGCTCTGTAGTGGCTTCCTAAGAAAGGGTGAATAAATGCAGAATGTGGGGCCTTTCATCGAAACAAGCAGATTCCCTCAAAGTTGATTCACTGAATACAGGATTCCAGATTGAAAATAGTTTGGGGCGTAAAATTTGGAAGGCATGGTTCAGCCATCTTCAGGCTTCCTCTGTGGCTCTTGAGAGGGCTGATGGCTTTCCGAGTCCTCTTGGTTGACATCATTTTTGTTTGGGGTTTTTTCTTCTAAAAGACTTCAATTTCATCATCTGAGGTCTTATTTAAATTTACTCTGCTCGGTGCTCAGAAAATTTGTCAATCTAGACTGTATTAGTTTTACGGAATGTTATATTTTTTCCAAGAGCATTTTCTCTTTAGTCTGTACTCTTCTGGGAATTCTAGTTACTTCCTACACCCATACTTGATTTTTTTTTTTAAATCTTTGTGCCCCTAATATTTACATTGTTTTATTTTCTGAAAGATTTTCTCAAATTTAGTCGAGCGTGGTAGCGCACCCCACCCCATACTAATCGTTGAACCCAGTGCCTTCACATTGACCGAATCCCCGGTTGGTTGGTTGGTTGTTTGTTTGAGGCAAGGTCTCACTTAATAGTGCAAGCTGGCCTTAAAATCACTGTGTAGGCCACACAGGCCTCGGACTGGTGGCAGTTTTCATGCCTCAGCCTCCCAAGTGCTGGGATTACGGGTATGTGCACCACAGCTGGCTTTCATGTTTATCTTCTAAGTCTCTTTTTTTTCTTTTTGTTTTTCTTCTTCTTCTTTTTCTTTTTCTTTTTTCTTTTCTTTTCTTTTTTTTTTTTGTCTTTTTGAGACAGGGTCTCGCTTTGCAGTTCAGGCTGGCCTTGAGCTCACTTTGTAGCCCAGGCTGGCCTCGAACTCACAACAGTCCTCCTGCCTCAGCCTCCCAAGTGCTGAGATTACAGGTGTGCGCTACCAGCTACCACACCAAGCCCGACTAAAATGTTTTTCTGCTGTGACATATAATGTATATTTCTAAGAAACATTTTGTCGTTTTGAAGATACTTAGTTTCTCCAAATTTCCTGTTACTTCATGCATTGTCTTTTCCATCTGTTCTATTTGAGGTTGGCAGCTCTCCTTAAAGCCTGACAGTCCTTGGTGGGTGGATGTGGGTGTGTGTGTGCACACATGCATAAAGCACTTAAAAGCTGAATGGAAGCTTATACAGTGTGTTGTGCAGTGCAGTGCAGTGTCAGTCTGACTGGCTTATCGGGAACCTGCACATCGCTCTTGTTGGTCTTTCCTTTTGGATAGTTCAGTTTCTCCAGTGACGGATCCTCCAGTATCTCACCAGGGAACCCGAGCCTTGCTGCTGTCGTAATGCTGGGCTGGCCCGAGCAGTTAGGAATTCCGTTTAGTGTGTAGACTTCCCTAACCCACTATGCATTCAGTCTCTGGATGCCCACACAGATACAAGCACGAGTGTGTCCTGAGCCCAGAACCTCTTCTTTGTTTTGTTGAAACCTCACTGTATTTGATGTCTTCAGTGAGATTTAGGGAGTCCCCTGGCTGTTCTGGGGTGGGGATTGGGCATCGGTTTATGTCATCTCCTTGGTTTCAGCGCTCCCACCTCTCAGGGTCGTGCTGAAAACCATTTCTGGGATTCTGTTGGGCAGGTCCCTTGGCTTCTCTTTCATATTTATCTTCCCCTATAGATTCATAGGTAAAGCGTTTTCTTCCTTCTGTCCTTGTCCTCATTAATAGTGAGTTTCATCAAAAACAGTTCATACTTTTTTTTCTGTATTTTGGGTTATTTTAAGGTAAAGGTGTCTTACTATCGATTAATCAGGTGCTGAGTAGCCAATCGCCCTAATATTTAGTGGCCTAAAATAAGAGCACCCCTTCATGTTCGCAGATGTGTGACGGATGCCTTGTTGCTGTGTAATATTGTTCAGAGATCCCATCCATAGCACTCCCTGCATTGGCTAGAATTCCAGACGAAATGACTCATTTCATTCTTCGCAGT